TGTGTGTGTGTGTGTGTGTGTGTGTGTGTGTGTGTGTGTGTGTGTGTGTGTGTGTGTGTGTGCCTGCCTGCGGCTCATACGAGTTCAGGCAGCGACCCGAGAGCTCATCTGGTCTGATCTGATTTCCTCTCAGCTGGCTGATGTGGAGCAGTGGCCCAGATGTTGGAGAGATTACAGGAAAAAACTAAACAAACACACAACGGAACAAAAAATTGTGTTTTTGTTGACAGGATGGCTCGTGATTTCAGTGTTAACAGAACTGAGAATGTATTTTTGATATCTATTTCTTATAGAAACTGTTTTGTTTGGGATTTTTACAGAACAAATCTTTTGAACCCATTCTGGCCTCTATAAGTTTCAACAGCTCTGAAATTTTCTTCAACAATCATGCTGTGAAAGATCTTTGGACTCTAAAGACATCAGTGTTCAGAGATCAGAAAACCCCTGTTCTCTAACTCCTGTCAAACTCAAAGCCCGCGGGCCAAATGTGGCCCGTCACTGCATTTTATGTGGCCCACGAGAGCTTCAAATGAGCTGCTCTAAAGCCAGCCATGACCATAAACTACATTTCCCATAATGCATTGTAAGATATTTCATGGATTTATTTTATTTTACAGGGTCTGAGACATTAAATAAATGTGAAGCTGAGTTTCTGAAAAAAAATCTGAGATTTCTCTATACATCCAGTACTTGCAAAATGGGGAAAACGTGTGTAATTTACATAAATCCATACGAGCTGACATGAATAATTCTAAAACTGAACTGGTTTCTTGCACATAATTTAGGCTTTCAGATGAATACATTTCTTTCAGCATGTTGATTAATTTACTTGTGAGATGACAGCATTCCACTACTTGGTGGAGGCGCACAGGGTCCAAAAGTACCTGGTGGCCTTTCTTGTTTAGTCGAAGTTAAACAGGTAATGAAGTTAATTACAACTGGCCCTTTGGGGGGCACCATAAAGCCCATGTGGCCCTTGTGAAAATGAGTTTGACACTCCTGCTCTAAGTTTTCCTTCATATTTAAATACCATTATTGCAGGTGCGGAGCCAGAGGAATGGCCGGGGTGGCAGTTGCCACACCTGAAACATGATTGGCCACCTCAAATGTCACCCCTGTTGATTGACAAGTCACTACTCGGGCCCTGCATCTTTAACCTTCACCTTCTGCCATGAAAGTTCCAGGAGACACAAAAATCATCATCTTCATTCACATTATTTTATTGTAATAGGTCTCTATCATATACATACAGTACAATATGCTCAAGACAAATTTTATGGCACATCCATAGTTGTACATTTTGCAGTCGCTGGTATTGCTGTGATCTTACAGTAAAGTGACCGTTTGAATCTGTTATTAGGTGGAGACAACAGGTGGCTTGACCTCGTGAGTTAGGAGTTAAGGTTGCTACAGCAAAACACATGCACGGTCATGTTAGATATTCCACTAGGGGGGGTGGGTCACACATCCAGTTACAAACACTTGAAGGGTGGAGGTGTTATTTTTCCGCTGAAACCCTTGTCTTGTTGTTTTGGAATATGCTACAGCAGTGGCTACTGTGATCCTAGAAAACCAGTTAGGATCCACCCATTCTTTATTAGTATTTTTTTCCCTCCACTACATGAATGGATCGGCCACTGTGAATTTAAAGGGCTGCCCGTTGCGTGCCTATGTGCCAGTGGTGGTTTGGATTGAATCTGTTGAATGTTCTTGCTCAGCCATCAGAAAACCATCTAACTCTGCATCAGACCCTGACTTTCCAGTGGGAATAAAGAAGAATGGTGTCGAAGGATCTAGCATTCTCTACTGCAATACAACTCTACTGATAAATACTACAGGTACAGTGTACTGTTAAACTATTCACATATGTACAACCTCTGCCGTCCGAGCGCAGAGGTCAGACAGGAGCTCCTTTCTGCCTGTTTGAGATAAATAAAATGTCAAACCCCTGGAAATATCATGTGCTGCCATCGCTCTCATCTGTTTTCATTATATTAGTCCTCATATGGATGAAAACAGTGTGGTCAGTTTGCATGCACACATTAAAGACATGATTGTTAAATTGGTTTTGTAGCTTTTAATGATTGATTTAAATCATTCTTGAACTGAACTGGCTGCACAAGTTGGACTTTATTCAGGAATTTCTCTAATCCACACGGAGTCATAAAGAGTCCCACAGACTCAAACATTTACACATTAAATCTAAAGCTTGTAAAAGGTGGTGATGAAGGTCTCAGCTGAACGAGACCAGTGGTTATTATTTAACTTCTTTAGTGTAAAAAGGATTTGTTACAACACCGGCAGGGATGGCCCGATACTCAGAACAATTGGAAAGTTGACAATCTAAAGAGACCGAACCTTTGAAACGTGCTACAATTGTAATAAACAACTGGAGGCCACTTTAAGTTTGTTGAAGACAGGCCTTTCCAGCCAGGGGAGGCAACATTAGAAAACTCTTTTTATAGTAAATTTAAACATTTATTATTGTTTTTACACTTTTGAACCAAAGAAAAGACCATATTCGTTTAAACAAGAAAAAAAAGTATACCAAATTTAATAAAAACTAAAACACTAAACTGTGCAGGGATATGTTTTTCTTTTCCTCCCATTTTTATTGTTACATAATCAATTCAACATATTTCGTCTCAGCAACATCTCTTAAAGATATTCCATAAAACTTCCTAATGGATTTGAGAGAAAGATCATAATTAAAACAGGACGTTGGGTTACTGAAGTGGCCAACATGCTACTAGCATGATCTAATCAACATATTTACCTCTTGTATTCGAAGGATTGCTCACAAATTTTCAAACAAATGAACAGGAAAACTGCTAAAGCTAGTCTTTTCTGTTGCGCGGATAGAAAAAAAAGTCAAATAATTCAATCTTATGTTACTTTTGGTTAAAGCTTCAAAGAGCCACAGTTAGCAGACCCCTGACCTAAACTGACCTGAGGACAGTTTCTGTCACCACGGTGTCTACACAGAGACTAAACTGTAGGAGGCTCAAATGTTAAAGTTTAATGATGGTTGTTGTTTGTTGTCTTTGTTGTTGACAAGAAGTATGTTTGGAGGAGTCAAGTACCAACTGCCCAGCACAGCAGTGGGTGCGTCATGGTGTGGGATTGTTTTTCTACCATGGTAACGGTGCGTTACACAAACAAATCAAAACTGGTTTCTGATTGGATGAAGCAGACACCTGAAAAGACCTCAACTTTAGCTGTACTGTAAATCTGTGGAATGTGTTTAGAAACCAGTTTTAATTATCTCTAGCATTTATGCTAAAGGAAACAGTCAAATATCAGCCGCAGTTATACCAGAAGCTTGATGACGGCTAAAAAAAAGTGTGATTCAGGTGCAGCTTGCTAAAAAAACATGTAACCAAATATTTGAGGCAGTATGTCACCCTGTGTGGATTAGAAAAAATCTTTAATTAATTCAAACTTGTGCGCTGAATTCTTGCTTCACAAACCATTTAAGATCCACGTTCTTTAATCATTCTAAACCATTAAAAGCTCTAAATTAATTTAATACTCATGCCCACAATGAGCAGATGCCAACCGCTGACCACATATTCCACTTAAATATATCAATTAGAATAAAAAAAGCTAAAACGATTGTCTCAAAAATAATTTAAAAAATATGATATTAAAAACATCAGTGTAGAACAAAAGAGAGACGTAACGAGATCATAAAACGTTGATTCTTTCAGCTTCTTATCATTGTGAACTTTAGCTGTGAGTGAGCAGATATCTGCTGTCCTTTTTAAAGTCTCTTATTTAACACACACCTGAAAGTCCCTTAAGTGCTTTCTTTTTTAATCTTTTTTTTTTTTTTTTTTTTTTGGAAAGTGCTTCACATATGTACACCTGACCTCCTCGGTGGTGTCACTAAATGTGCAATTTTGGCATTTGGATTTTCTCCCAGCTCTCCAACAAAACCAAAACAACCAAGGAAAAACAACGTAAAATAGAAAAAAAACTGTGCAAATTTCTGACAGCTCACTGAAAATAAAAGCAGGGAGTAAAGGATGTATGAGGTGGAGTGTGCGCCACGCCCTGCTGCTGCGGCTCTATATGACCTGGCAGCAGCTGTGCGGGGTGGGGGTGCAGAGCAGACCCTCCTTGGGGCCTCGGTGGATGTTGACGGACAGAGTCTTCTCGTTCAGAGGCACCTGCAGCGTGTGGTTCTTCATGTTCCTGTGGTTCTCCCTGGCCAGGTCCAGCTCCCCCAGCCGCAACGTTCCCGAGCAGGGCCCCTCCAGCAGCGGGTCCCCCAGCATGTCTCCCAGGGGGGGCTGGTGGTAAAGGTTCCCTCGTGGCGAGGGCCCGCCCAGGAGCGACACTTTGTCCAAACTGCCCGTAGAGCCACCCATGCACATCCTCCACACGGGACGATCCTGAGGGTCTACGCCAACGCTGCCACCGGCACCTCCACCGCCTCCACCTCCGCCTCCCCCCACAGTCAGGTTGTGGAACTGAGAGCTCAGGCACAGGCTCATCAGCTTGAGGCTCTCCACCAGGCCACTGGCTGCTTTGGCGGTGCCTTTACCCTGACCTGACCCCGATCCTGGACTGGCACAGTTAGAGGGACTGTCCTGCCCCGACCCACTTTTCCCTCCGCCCTCCTTCCTGTCTGCGCTCTCGTCCTCCGGTTCAGCCGCGGTCAGTGGGTCTGGTTTGAAGTGGCGCTCTCTCAGGTCCTCGCTGGTCTCTGAGCTGGGGGTGCCAGCCTGAGAGGACGGTATTCTGGAGTTCAAATTGAGGCTAAGACTAGGTTTCGGCAGACCCAGTCCGTGCAGCTCTCTCCCGTCCTCCTCCTCGTCGTCCTCTTGGTCTTCCTCGTGGATCTGGTTAAGAATCGGGGCGCTCATTCGAGACGTCATGCGGTTGCTGTTCGAGGACGAGGATGAGGAGGAGCAGGAGGCTTTGCAGCGAAGCACCACTTGAGAAGGCAACGTAGAAGGGGGCAGACACTTATCTTCTGCCCCTTCTTCTTCCTCATCCTCTTCCACGCTAAAAAGACTTGGACTACGTGGTTTGCAGGGCCCCACTGACGCCAAGGAGGTAAGCCTGAGAGGGTTGGAGTGTGGCTTAGCAAGAGGTCTCAGACTCCTCTCCTGGTCTTGTCGTACAGGTTGCTGTTGGCAGCTGTTGCTCTCCGGCCGCTGGTTGAGGTCTAGCAGAGCTGTTTTGGGTCTGGGACCTTTGTGGAGGCTTTCGGCACTGCGTGCAGGGGACTGTGGACCCCCAGGATGGGAAATAGTAGGACCTCCTAATCCATCACTGACATCCTGGTGAACATCTACCCTGGTGGGCCAAGATTGCCTGTGAAAGGTTACACAGAGTTATTGTACAACTTCAGGCATAAACTGATAATATTCAATACTAACAAAAATACTACTTTGAAACTTTGTTCTATAAATCCCTATGTTCCACAGATCACTATGTTCCACAGATCACTATGTTCCACAGATCACTATGTTCCACAGATCACTACAGATCACTATATTCCACAGATCACTATGTTCCACAGATCACTTCAGATCACTATATTCCACAGATCACTATGTTCCACAGATCACTACAGATCACTATATTCCACAGTTCACTATGTTCCACAGATCACTACAGATCACTATGTTCCACAGATCACTACAGATCACTATGTTCCACAGATCACTACAGATCACTATGTTCCACAGATCACTACAGATCACTATGTTCCACAGATCACTACAGATCCCTATGTTCCACAGAACCCTATGTTCCATAAATCCCTATGTTCCACAGTATCTATGTTCCATAGATATCTATGTTCCACAGATAAATACTGTATGTACCACAGATATTTATGTTCCACAGAACCCTATGTTCCACAGATATCTATGTTCCATAGACATCTATGTTCCACAGAACCCTATATTCCGTAGATCCCTATGTTCCACAGATAAGTACTGTATGTACCACAGATATCTATGTTCCACAGAACCCTATGTTCCACAGATCCCTATGTTTCACAAATCCCTGTGTTTCACATATACCTATGTTCCACAGATATCTATGTTCCACAGATACCTACTGAATTACAGTGCAGGTATGGTAGTATTTAAGTTGCTTTATTTAACATCTTATGGTGCGTTCACACCGAACGCGATTTCAGCTTCAAAATCGCAGCCAACGCTGAAGTCTGAAGCTTGTGCACTTTGAGGTCAGACGCAGGACAGTTGTTGAAGCGCCGCACGGCGACAGCCGCCCCGCCCCTCCCTCCTCTGTCGGGCTCCGTTTAATGTCGGACGAGGAAGTGGCTTTGCTTTATTTACAGACAGCCAGAACGTGTCACGTTCATCAGATAATTAATTCATAATTAATTCACCAGATAATTCAGAGAAGACGCTCACAGCTGCTTTCAGGACTACTTTTTTCAGTCTGATGAGTCGCTGTCACGCATTGCTGCGGATCAGGACACGACTGCAGCACTCATTTTAGCTAAAGAGCTCCGCTCCGTCTGTTTCAGGTTAGTGGACCTCATTCAGTAAACTGTCCCGTCGGGAAATATGTCGCTACGTCACACAGTGGAGTCTCTCTGATTGGTTGACGCTGCGCGTCGAGCTGCAAAAGTTCAGATTTTCTAACTTCAGCGATTTGGACGATTTGGACGATCTGAGCGTTCGACGCTCAGATCGTCCAAATCGTCCAAATCGCGCTGCTCTAATCGCGCTTGAGGCGCCGCAGAACTTCCCGACGTTGCTTGAAGCGCCTCCACCATAGACTTTGCATGTAAACCTGCTGCTCCTGACGCTGAAATCGCGTTTGGTGTGAACGCACCATTAGGCAGGAGTGGAGCTAGAGTGATGACCGGGGTGGCAACTGCTACTACCCCTGACACCTGACTGGCCACCCCAGGTGTCACCCCTAAAGGACTGATAATTTGAGGGAAATTTCTCTGACCCACTGAATTAATCTAGAGTCCAGTCTGTAACATTGTAATAAATTGGAGCAATTGAAAGACTGCTTGCTTTGTGAAACATTGACAGGTAGTCCCATTTGGCTGCCCTTTTAAATTTACGATTTGTCTGTGCTAATGTGTTTGTGATCGCAGCTCGCACCACACCAAATTTCAGCTCATGTGTCTAAAAATAGTTGAGTTATAGCTACTTGAATTTAGCAGGTGCAGCCTTCTTAAATGCTCAAATCCAGATTAGTTTTCTTTATTTGTATGCCCCCTCTAAAAAAACACATTGGCCACCCATGTGCCACGCTTTGCAAAAGAGTCTAGCTTCGCCCCTGATTTCAGGTCTAATTTCCTGACAATCATTTTTATTGCTTGTCCAACAAAAAAGGTCCAGTTTGTTCACATTGTTTGATTTGTCTGAGAACTGCGAACACAGCAGAAGCTGTTCTATAAATCTCTATGTTCCTGTCCGTCACAGGAAATGAACGTGTGTGATCCTGTTCACCTGAACTGGGCTTTGCTGGGACTGGGCGACCGTGTCTGGTTGTGCTGCTCCTTCTCTTGTCTTTCCCTCAGCATCCGCTCTGCCAGCAGGAAGTAGGTAGCCGTGATGTGGTTGTACTGGTTCGACTCCAGAGCCCTGGGAACATGGTATCAGAAAACCATTTTAAATCTCCCTCACATGTCAGCTGCTACTTTAGACGACAGCTAGATCCCCTCTATGAGCAGGAAATAAAGACCTCAACATGGCAACAGCTCAGGATGGACCACCATCTGCTTGTTTAACTGTTGATAACTGTCAACTAGGCTTTAGGAGGATGAGTAATCTGTGACAAATCTTTGGAAATTAGGGCCAGAACACATACTCGGTAATGGTGTCTCTGTCTGCGATGCTCCCCAGCACCATGCGTTGGATGATAGAACCGTGCTCCTCCTCAGATAAGCTGCGATGAGACACCAGTGGGGTGGATAGCTTGGTGGCTGGGGAGGGGTCGACACCTTGGAGCCACTGGTGGCTCTCGATCTGCTCTAGAGTCGCTCGTTTCTTTGGGTCTCTCTGCAGCATGTGGCCTATAAGGCTGGAGGGAGTCAGAGAGCAGATTAGTGTTGTTAATAAACTAAAGAATCATCTGGGTGTGGCTTTAGGAATACTTAGATACATACACAGTTACATTACATGTAATAACATGTTTATAATGCTGGTAAAGTCCTATAAACATCTTGTAAACTTATATGTGACCCATCACATCGAAACGAAGATTAAGTCTAAAAGTGGAATGTGGAGAAATAGGCAGGTTTAGGGTTTTGATTTAAATGTGTGCAAAATTTTCATTTTGTCAATATAATGAATTAAGCCTTATCAATGTATCATTTGAATGAACTGTCTGAAATATAATCCTAAAATTTTTTGAAGCTTTTTTTAGTAGTAGCAACAAAAAACTGGTTTTGAGGAAAAGCGCCTTAACATTTAGAAATTTTCCCTGTGAGCTAGCAAAGTTTTTGATTCTTTCCAACTGGAAAATCTTAATATATAGATATTATTTGATGTTTCCTCTTTATATTAACATCAAAAAATATTCAATAAATTTGCATAAAATTAGGATTCAGACCAAATAGTAATGTATTATCGTAACCAATAAGATAATATTATATATAAATAATATAACAAAATTAAGTCATTTCTCTGGATAAGCTGATGCTATCAGAATGATCCAGGTAACAAAATGTAGCTTTTAAAGCAGGAATCTGAAAATGTAATTAGGTCATTTTGACAAAATTTGACTTAATCCTCATTTGGATATGATGGGTCACATATTTACTCACACTATTTTATTTTCTGTATTTCCCACTGCTAAAAATCACAAAGCTTAAGTCACCACGTTTTTACTAAAATCAATTAAATTTCCTTTTACTTGCACCAGAGACATGTTTTGCATAAACAATTGAACAATTTATTACCGTGTTGTAAAAAAATACAAGCAATGGCCAAAAAGAATTCAACAAATCTTCATTATTGTTCTGTCCCTGCTGTGCTCACACGTCGCCTCGAAACAGGAAATTAATGATCTGTGCCATATTTGCTGTTAGTAATCAGCTGGTGCGAGTGTGATTTTTAGTGCCACCGTTCTATTTTAATAGCCAAAACAATAAAACTAGCACTAAAAATCTGACAAGGTTTTATGTTTTCATATAATAAATCAAAGACTCTTTTCACAGAAATGAGTTTAAACAGAAAGCCAAATGTTTGTTTTCTCTATGGAACTGTTTGCAGATGTTCTCTGTCCACTATGTTCACATGAACATAGTGGACAGAGAAATGGTTTCTTTAGGCCCATGTGGGAAAATAAACAACACACGAACCAGGACATGAGCTAACATTTGATGTGTTGTGTGAACATCAACAAAAACTAGTGAAGTCATGACAAATACAAAGTAGGTTCCTGGTCTCATGGTTAAACTCTTGTTTTAAAAAAAAGGGTTGGATTTTAGAGGATACACTTTCACGCAGCACAGCATCTCTGCCGGAGCAGCTGACTGCAGCACGGAGCCAAAGCAGGACAACGGAGAGGCTGCACCCTCTCCTCTCCGTGCTCACATCTACAGGCATGAAATATGCAGCACCTGCAGGCCCGTCGGTCCAATTTCGCTTTATTTTTTTTCTGTTTGTGCTGGTGTTATTACTCACTCTCTGCATGCGCTGGACACATGTGCAGGCACCGTGTATCTGCAGTCCATGATCATGGTGAGGGTCTCGCTGTCGTTGGCCTCCTGAAACGGGGGCTGACCGCAGACCAGCATGAACAGGATCACTCCCAGACTCCAGATATCTGCACACAGAAAGGAAACAGTCAGAGAAAAGGAAGGAAGGAAGGTGACGACTGCTGGTTAAAGTGATCCGTGTGAGTCCTCACTGCTTGGTGACCTAGATATGAAAATAATAATAATAATAAAAAAAGAAAAAGCACACAAATAAACGTCTCCTCCCAGAGTTCCATCGAAGCATGGATTGCATTCGATCAGAGTCATTTCCATAAATATGTGCGAGCTCAGGACTCGTCTGTCTCAGCAGAGACTAGGCTCTGCACGGCTGCCTGCAGCTGCACACACACACACACACACACACACACACACACACACACACACACACA